CTTCTTCCATCAGTGAATCGGAATCATTTGTTTACCTCCTAATGCAGGAAACCTGGATGTAACAATCAGCAGTGACCTTTTTTAAACAACAAACCTCTTTTGAAAACAAGTTACAAAAGTTGTTGAATCGTGTTTTTTATCGGCTGAGGGGCATGACTAAAGTTAGGTCTTTTCTCTCCCTGATCTCCAGAAGCTCATTCATGCTTTTATATAATCTTGGTTATATTGTTGTAATTCATTGTATTTGCGATTTAATGCCAACAAACTATCTCACGCTGTCAGCTGGTACAAAATGTTGCTCATTGGCTCACGCAAGAAGACCAGATCAGTCGGCCTGTTTCAGCCTCCTCACTGGTCAGTTTTAGAGTTGGGTTTAAGATTTTACTGATTTCCTTTAAAGCACGTCATGGTTCAGTTAGATTATTGAATCGATGCTCCACTAAGAGCCAGAGCCTCAGATCCTCAGCCAGGGCTCTGCTGGTTGTTCCTAAGTCCTGGTTCAGGACTAAAAGAGACCTGGTTTAACAGTCAGGACCTCAGCTCTGAACATCCGGCTGCAGAATCTGACATCTTATAAATCACCTCTCAAAACTTCTCTTTAAAAAAACCTTTTCTTGATATTAGAAAACAGTTTAATTTCCAACTTGTCATATCTGCTTATTATGATATAATTATCAGTATTATTGTTTTATTATTATAATAGAACTGCAATGACATTTGTTGCTCAACAGAAAAATGTTTTCCTTCAGAAACCTCAAACTGTTTTCATGTGATCTGAAAGACATTTTGTTTAAACAAGATGCAATGTCTAGAGGTGGATACCACGACGTGTATCATCATCTGTGTGTTTCAGCTGACGTCTTGTGGAGTTTACCAGCGCGGAGAAGAGGATGAGGGCGTCTTTGGTTTCCTGGTGGACGACATCAAACAGGAGATCCGCCGGTCGGCTCGACTGGTGAGAGGTTATTTTTTATCTTAAAGGTCCCTACTTTTATTTCAACTAGAAAATGTTTACATGATTTAGTCAAACGCCTCACTGATTACTGTACAAAAACACAACTTTATAACTTTATTCACTGATTTTGTTGAAACGGGTACATATTTTATGGGGAAAATATTTTCTGGTTTTTATTCTGATGTCTTCTTATAGAAGCCCTAAGAGCCTATACATTCATATATTTTATTTATTCTGTCTTCCCATGAACGGGCGGCACGGTGGTGCAGTGGTAAGCACTGTCGCCTCACAGCAAGAAGGTCGTGGGTTCAAACCCTGGTTGCCCGGCCTTTCTGTGTGGAGTTTGCATGTTCTCCCCGTGTCTCCGTGTGCTCCGGCTTCCTCCCTAGTCCAAAGACATGCAGACTAGGTTAATTGGTGACCCTAAATTGTCCTTAGGTGTGAGTGTGAGCATGACTGGTTGTTCGTCTATGTGTGGCCCTGTCCAGGGTGTACCCCGCCTTTCGCCCGATGCCAGCTGGGATTGGCTCCAGCCCCCCTGTACACAGGATAAGCGATTGACGATGGATGGATGTCTTCCCATGATAACGGAATAATTTTCTCGAGATAACAAAACTTTGTTTCCCTGAGTTAATAACATAATAAATTCAGTGGCAAGTAAGTTTGGCATAGGGGCAGTTTTACCCCAGACTCACACAGGCGCCGTGTGCGCCGCGTTACGGCTGTGCTGCGGCTGCTGAACCTAATCGCTGCCATTGTAGTCAGTGCTTGAGCTCAAACCAGAAGCGGCTCTCCGCTCCGCTGCACGGAGAATAGGCAGCCGGTCTATTTTTGACAGAAGACGCGTCAAGCAGCACAGAGCAGATCGAACCAGTACAATAATAAAATCACACACAGGCTACAGTATAGAGAACACATGCAAAGATGCAGGAGTAAAATTATTATCATTATGTGGAGTACATGTCCGAGGTGGATAAGATATACAGGTACCCATACACATGCATGCATACCTATACTCATGTACACAGTGTGATGGAGTATAGTGCAAAGGATGCTGGAATGGATAAGTATTATGTGCAGGGAGACATATTTATGTATGTTTATGAAAAGACATGAAAAATGCTTTTTTACATAAAATGGGACCTTTAAGCACAGAGACAGCGTTGAAAATAATCAACTGGTGAATGTCACACTGTATCCAAGTTTGTGAAAAACCCAGTAAGCTTAAACCAGTTAGAAACAAACCACTGACACCAGACCAGAGAGTCATCCTTTGTGTCTCTTTTTTGTGTTTATCACGTGTGATGAAGACGTGTTCCTGCTGTAAGAAGAAGGGAGCATGTGTCGGCTGTAACGTTCGAAGTTGCAGGAAGATGGCCCACTTCCCCTGCGGGAGGAAACAGAAGTTTATCTCACAGTTTACTGGACTCTTCCCGTGAGTGCTGAATACAAATTAAACACTTTCATTTAAAGAGTCATAATCTCTCATTTAGAGAGCTGCAGTTCTAAGTGTATTTGAGAAAGAGCTTTTTAAAACTGAAGCAGAGTCGCTGACCTCTAAAATATATATGTATCTGAAATCACTCCTTTGTGTACTTATTTGCTGTTCCCTTCACAATAAACACTCAGCAGTTTACTCTATAGTGAACAGTAGTTTGAGATTTCAGACATGAATGCTTCATTAACATTTTGTCATTTTACATTGTCACTCCACCCCAGCAGCACAAACTGCAGCCGCCAAACGGATCATAAAGTTAACACGTCTCTGAAACTGTTTCAGCATAAAGTGAACATTATAACCTTCACGTAGGAGGATTTATTACAGGATTGTTTGATTAGACTGCTAATAAAGTGTAAAACATTCAGAGTCAACATTCTGCTGGCCAAACCCGTGTTGTCTAACTCTTTGTGTTCAGGTCGTACTGTTCGGATCACAGTCCCTCTCAGTCTCTGTGTGTGGGTTCAGACCTCAGTCTGCCTCAGTCTTGCTCCATCTGTTTGGACTCCATTGAGCCCATCCTCTGCTACTCCGTCCTCAAATGTCCATCCTGCCACGCCAGCTGGTTCCACAGGGACTGTGTGCAGGTAGTGTCACTGTGTCAGTGTGTTGTTCATTTTATTCTCTGAAGTCATTTGATCATGTTGCATTAAATGATCTTTTTATCCAAATTACAACCAAAAAAAAAACATATTTTCCACTTCACCCTGGTGACATTAAGCCATGCAGATAGTTTGCCTTGTTTGTTTTGTTGTGAATAATTGAACATTTATAAAAAAATTTTAAAAAACATGAAGAAAAGCTCAACAGAAACATGTCTGTCACGAAAGAATGTCCTGGTTACTCTGGATAATGCACAGACTGCAGACTATCTGCATTAGTGCTGAAATGGTGAGTAGAGCTGCAACAAATACTCGATAGACAGAAAATCAACCGGCAACTATTTTTGGGAGTAATTATTTATAATAATTTATTATATAGTCATTTCTGAAAACCCAGCATCCCAAATATTTGCTTGTTCCAGCTTCAAGTGCCGTTCTCAAAGTACCGTTTTAGTCTTAAGTGCTGAGAATTCATGAAATTTACTCCTACTTTTAAACTTAAGGAAAAAAAAGCAAGTTATCAAATTTCTCAAAGCTGAGAATCACTCTTACTCTCCCAGTTACTTAAGACGGCTCGAGAGGTCTCTCAAGTGGTTAGGAGCTGCCAGTAGAGGCTTGTGATGGCACTGTGGAGACAGAGACATGCACAAACCTTTAGGAGAGAATAATATTTCTGAATTATTTGACAGCGCACAGTTATTTATACAGTATCGTTTGTGCAGAGCGAGTTGGTGAGGGACGTCATCTCACCACTGACGTTACGCAGCAATGCGTTTTCAACTGAATTTAAGGTGGTGATGACACTTTGTTTCTTTGCCACAGGACAAATGCAGCAATGCTGATGATTTAAAGCCATCACAACCATCAATAAGTCGATTTGTCATGGAAACTATTATGGCACTTGCTGCTCCACACATTGTCACGTGCTTGATACAGACCCTGATTTCCTTTCTTGTCGTACATGAGAGTAAACTGAATATCTTTGGCCTGTTGGTTCTGACAAAACCAGACATTTGGAGACGACGCGTTGGGCTATAGGAAATTTCGACTGCTGCTTTTCACTTTTCTGAAAGTTATTAGACAAAATGATCCATCGTGAAAATAATTGGTAGAATAACTGATAATGAAAATAATCATTTGTTGCAGCCCTAATGTTTTGCTGGATTTGCTGCGTTAATAATTTCACTATAAAATGAATCTCTTTGTGTTTTTTCAGACAGAATAAACAAATGGAAGAGGACATGTTCTAGGTTCTTCAAAAGAGGTTCTTTCTAACATTTAAAAACAGGATGATTAGTAACTTGAAGCTCTGTTGCATGGCGAGATACCACTAGGGTTAAAGAGTAAGGTATATTTGTTTGTGATTTGGATGAACTGGCCCTTTCAACCATCAGAGCCTCCAGCAGCAGAGCGTGTACAGATGTTTAACAGCATTTGGATTTATGTTTTTGGTTATTTACAGGTGTGTCAGGTTGTACGCGAGTGTAAGACTATCTGTGTTTTTGTCTGTCTGTGTGTCAGCGTCAGGCCTACAGTGCCGGCCTCTTCTTCTTCAGATGTACTCTCTGTAACAACAAGGAGAACTTCCAGGAAGAGATGCTCAGGATGGGAATATACATCCCAGAGAGGTAACATGATTATATGTGACCAGGCTTTTAGGATGCCTTCACAGCCAGGGAGCACATAATAGCACAGGATTGTCTAATGCCAACACTGCTAATCACTGTATGCTCTTTTCTGCAGAGATGCCTCATGGGAGATGGAGGCAAACGCATATTCAGAGCTGCTGCAGGTTTACAATCGCTGTGACGCTCTCACCTGCCTCTGCAACGAGGGACGCACTCACTCCGCCAAGACTGGGTACCACATTCATTTTCATTTAATTCACTGTATTGATAGAGATCGCACATCCACAGATAAACACATGGTAATATGTAAAACTGTTTCCTTTTAGAGGTACAGCACAATATGAATACTGGCTGAAGACTGCAAGTTTGAAAATTAAACAAATCTGTTGGTGTGGAGAAAGAACTGGGCGGACCAGACCTCTGTAACTGCTGCTCATCAGGCTCTAGGCTACTTTACAATCAAACACCCAACTGTCAGACAACGATTTGTATTGTGGGTAAAATAGGCACCAGGTTTTGATCAGGATATCCATTGTGAGTCTGAGGGGGTATAAAGCTGAATCTGTGGAGTTCTCTCTTTGTAGCACAACTCTGACCTTAAAATGACCAACGTTAGCCGTTACACATTTCGCCCGAGTCCCACAGAGTAGAGCAGCACACACAACGATGATCCTTGTGCCCTGACCGTGTTGTTTGTTTCAGTTGGTTTGAGGTGATTCGCTGCTGGCTGTGTGGATCTGGCGGGACTCACAGAAAATGTTCAGGGCTGAAGTTGGACACCAGCGACTGGGCATGCAGCGACTGCACAAAGGCTACTGACGGGAAAGGTCTGACTCACTGATGGACTGACTGACTGTTTTTAATGATAGTTTGCAGATTCATTTTCTGTTGATTGACAAATCGATTACGGTAATTGTTTCAGTTCTACTTAATTTAACCGAAAATCTGAAACAATTGGATTAATATTCGAAAATGTCATCATAATTTATAAACCCAACATAATGAACATATTTTAGGATTTAACAGCTGTCTTTTGGTTGGTATATTATTGTTGTTTTTATGTGAACCATGTGCTCGTCTCCTCCAGCTTCCCTGGTTTCATCTCCTCAGGGGGGTCAGAGGAGGAGTCTGCTGTCCAAACGCCACCTGTCCCCCATCCACTCCTCCATCAGCTGTAAGAGGTACGCAAATGTAACGCACCTGCCCTCATCAGACAAATGTAACGCACCTGCCCTCATCAGACAAATGTAACGCACCTGCCCTCATCAGACAAATGTAACGCACCTGCCCTCATCAGACAAATGTAACGCACCTGCCCTCATCAGACAAATGTAACGCACCTGTCCCCCATCCACTCCTCCATCAGCTGTAAGAGGTACGCAAATGTAACGCACCTGCCCTCATCAGACAAATGTAACGCACCTGTCCTCCATTAGTTGTAAGAGGTACACAAACCTAACGCACCTGTCCTCCATCAGCTGTAAGAGGTACACAAACCTAACGCACCTGTCCTCCATTAGTTGTAAGAGGTACACAAACCTAACGCACCTGTCCTCCATCAGCTGTAAGAGGTACACAAACCTAACGCACCTGTCCTCCATACACTCCTCCATCAGCTGTAAGAGGTACGCAAATGTAACGCACCTGCCCTCATCAGACAAATGTAACGCACCTGTCCTCATCAGACAAATGTAACGCACCTGTCCTCCATCAGCTGTGAGAGGTACACAAATGTAACGCACCTGCCCTCATCAGACAAATGTAACGCACCTGTCATCCATCAGCTGTGAGAGGTACACAAATGTAACACACCTGTCCTCCATCAGACAAACCTAACGCACCTGCCCTCCATCACCTGTAAGAGGTACACAAACCTAACGCACCTGTCCTCCATCTGCTGTAAGAGGTACACAAACCTAACGCACCTGTCCTCCATCAGCTGTAAGAGGTACACAAACCTAACGCACCTGTCCTCCATCAGACAAACCTAACGCACCTGTCCTCCATCAGCTGTAAGAGGTACACAAACCTAACGCACCTGTCCTCCATCAGACAAACCTAACGCACCTGTCCTCCATCAGCTGTAAGAGGTACACAAACCTAACGCTCCTGTCCTCCATCAGACAAACCTAACGCACCTGTCCTCCATCAGTTGTAAGAGGTACACAAACCTAACGCACCTGTCCTCCATCAGACAAACCTAACGCTCCTGTCCTCCATCAGACAAACCTAACGCACCTGTCCTCCATCAGACAAACCTAACGCACCTGTCCTCCATCAGACAAACCTAACGCACCTGTCCTCCATCAGCTGTAAGAGGTACACAAACCTAACGCACCTGTCCTCCATCAGACAAACCTAACGCACCTGTCCTCCATCAGACAAACCTAACGCACCTGTCCTCCATCAGCTGTAAGAGGTACACAAACCTAACGCTCCTGTCCTCCATCAGACAAACCTAACGCACCTGTCCTCCATCAGACAAACCTAACGCACCTGTCCTCCATCAGACAAACCTAACGCACCTGTCCTCCATCAGACAAACCTAACGCACCTGTCCTCCATCAGCTGTAAGAGGTACACAAACCTAACGCACCTGTCCTCCATCAGACAAATGTAACGCACCTGTCCTCCATCAGTTGTAAGAGGTACACAAACCTAACGCACCTGTCCTCCATCAGCTGTAAGAGGTACACAAACCTAACGCACCTGTCCTCCATCAGACAAATGTAACGCACCTGTCCTCCATCAGTTGTAAGAGGTACACAAACCTAACGCACCTGTCCTCCATCAGACAAACCTAACGCACCTGTCCTCCATCAGCTGTAAGAGGTACACAAACCTAACGCACCTGTCCTCCATCAGACAAACCTAACGCTCCTGTCCTCCATCAGACAAACCTAACGCACCTGTCCTCCATCAGACAAACCTAACGCACCTGTCCTCCATCAGCTGTAAGAGGTACACAAACCTAACGCACCTGTCCTCCATCAGACAAACCTAACGCACCTGTCCTCCATCAGCTGTGAGAGGTACACAAACCTAACGCACCTGTCCTCCATCAGACAAACCTAACGCACCTGTCCTCCATCAGCTGTAAGAGGTACACAAACCTAACGCACCTGTCCTCCATCAGCTGTAAGAGGTACACACATCTAACGCACCTGTCCTCCATCAGTTGTAAGAGGTACACACACCTAACGCACCTGTCCTCCATCAGCTGTAAGAGGTACACACACCTAACGCACCTGTCCTCCATCAGCTGTAAGAGGTACACACACCTAACGCACCTGTCCTCCATCAGCTGTAAGAGGTACACAAACCTAACGCACCTGTCCTCCATCAGCTGTAAGAGGTACACAAACCTAACGCACCTGTCCTCCATCAGTTGTAAGAGGTGCATAAACCTAACGCACCTGTCCTCCATCAGCTGTAAGAGGTACACTTTATTGACAGTTACATGAACTCTCCCTCTTTTTCAGACCATCTGGTTCACCTGAGAAGTTCCTGCAGGCATTGGCTCCTCAGCTCCGCCCCCTCCGTGTCCAGGTGGAGGTGAGCGGGGATCAGGCTCTGTCTGCAGGTGTGGAGCTGGTGAGGAGGGCCGATTTCGACCCCACACACACACTGTCTGTCAGGTGAGTTGACTCAACGTTTTATTTTACTAACAGAGTTGCTTTGCCCGTTTCTGCTCTAAGGTTTGTCTTCATCTTCATCGAGTCACTGATTGTTGGCAAAATAAAAGTATGATCAACATGTTTACTTCTACAGACATTTTTATTTGTCTCTTCACGTCATCTCTGTCCAGGTTCAAAGACGATCAGCAGACTGCATTTCCCAGCAGTCTCCGGGACAGCGACGCAGCCAGGCAGTTCTTCCTGAAGCTGCTGATTCAACAGATCCAGGACTCTGTAGTGTTTGAGGGTCCAGATGGATACAAGAATCTGGCACTGGACTCCCAGGGTATGAATCATTATATGTTAGTCTTTATTTATTTATTTTATAATTTTTTCTTTTCATATATATAAGGGAAACCCAAATTGGAAAATGACATAATTATTTTAAATTAAATTTTATTCTTACAGGAAATGAAAAAACAGGCCATGGACCGAATTTGAACTTGATATTTTATGTGTCCGAATTTGTGTGACCAGGAAGTTATAGATTTCTTTGTGTGTTACGTGCGTAGCGGGGCGGCGCCACCTGATTTATTGTAATGAGCTTGAATATCAATATGTGTTTTTTTTTTTGTTTTTTTTTAAATTATTATTACATTTTATTCACATTAAAAGTCGTCATTTGTTTTAAACTCTTACAAGAAACAGGAAGTTTACTGTTGCCACAGATACAGTGAGTTAGACTGCAGGCAGCAACGTCAGCCCCATTTTGTTTACAGAATGGAAAATGAAGTTAGTCAAATGAACTAATAACATTTTTTGCTGTGTACCACTGGATGCACTGAAAAACTGTATTACTCTGATACTGAAGAAAAACAGAGGCAAGTTCTGATTCCTGTCCCAGTGAGTTACACTGAGCTGCAAATTGGATTGGATTAGTCTTTAATAATCGGACTATTGATTGGGTGGAGCGTTTAATTAACGATAAAGGATGTTTGAAGACAGAAATATCCTGTCCTCCACACATCAAAAGGTTAAAAAAAACAAAATGGCTGTTTGTTCTGACAGCTGTGTGTGTGTGTGTGTGTGTGTGTGTGTGTGTGTGTGTGTGTGTGTGTGTGTGTGTGTGTGTGTGTGTGTGTGTGTGTGTGTGTGTGTGTGTGTGTCGTCCAGCTCTGCGTGAGGACCTGTACTTCGATGTCGGCTGCCTTCTGGCTCTCTCTCTGGTTCACGGCAGTCCTCCTGTGGGCTTCTTCTCTCACGCTCTCTACCAGTGTCTGTTCAACTACCCGCCCAACCGCCCGCTCACCGTCACACACATGACCCCCAACACACACTTCACCTCGCTAGTCAGCAGGGTGAGTACGACCAGCGACATGTGCTCGGCTTCTACTCCATAAACCTTACAGACCATAACACCAACATTACTGATATATAATTGAAAGTAAAATGATTGATTGGCGGATTTTAGATTGCAGAGGCGGAGTCTTTAGAGGAGCTGAAAGAACTCATGGCGGCGAGTTGGGAGTACCTGGAGCTGGCCGGCTGCAACCGACCAATAAGCAGCCTGAAGGAAAAAGAGGCTCTGGTGGATGATCTGGTCAGCTTCACTATGATCACCAGGATGCAGCTGCCACTGCGGAGGTAGATGCACACAGACAGACAGTCCAATGTGTTGATTGATGCTTTAAATGCAGAGAAATTGACTGAGAGGTCAGGTATCTGTTGTTTACAGTTATTAGACCATTACAATTGCAGCTTAGACCTTAGAGCAGCTAAATAGAAATTTAGCCATTGTTAATGTTATTATTTACACTTGTGCTGGTCTCTATGGATGTGGTGACTGTAGACTAGAATTATCTCTGCAGATCTAAAGAGCATTCTGCATAATGTATGCAAAATATCGCAAAATAAAATTGTTAACTCTCAGCAGAGGTGGAAAAACAAGTTGAAGTGAAGAGCTGAAAACATCAGATCTGTGTGGAGCAATGAGGAGGCTGTAACCCTCCTCTTGTTAACACATGACTAAACACTTGTGTCCTCCTCTTCTGCAAAGGTTTAATTAATGACTGATCCTGGAGAATTAGTTCCACCAACTGTTTATCTGAACCAACTCACATATTCACATAACAGTAGTGGATGGAAACATGCAAAAATTCCCATTTTCTGTTGCAGATTTTCCGAATGTTCAGTTAAAATTTGCACTACATTTGAATGGGAAACAGTTTATAGTTCATGCTCTCAGCTGTAGTCATGACTTATAGATTCTGATAATAATGAGCACAGCTGATATCAGTGTGGCTCACATCTCCAGGACACGTTTGTCTCACCTGTTTTGTCCTTTTCACAGTGCAAAACTTTACTGAAATAAACAAGGGAATTGGGGAAATTGCATTGCAACAGATTTCACCAGCAAATCTTTTTTGTTTTAGTGCCGTTTTTTAACACGCTATGAATAAGCACCTTCACTTTAATAATTGTTTGCTTTTGTCCTCCAGGTTTCGGGAGGGCTTGCAGACTTTGGGTGTCTTTGATCAGGTGATTTAAGTTAGCTTTTCCTCCCCTGTACACACTCAAGATTTATCAAACACCACAACGTGAGTTAGGATTTTACGACTCACAGCAACAATACTTTAATCTGATCCAGGTGCAGCTCTTCCCGTCGGTGTTCTACAGTGTTTTCTGTGAAGCGGCTGATCGGCTCACGGCTCAGACTGTCGGTCAGCTCTTTACCATCAACTTCTCCCAGCAGGAGGAGAGACTGAACAAGGAGACGCCCGCCATCACCTTCTGGAGACACTTCCTGTTGGAGTGTGAAGGTACAGGAGCTTCACTGAAACGTGGGAAACGTTAAACAGAAACTGTGGCGTCTCGAGCTCCCTGTTGTGTTATACTGCCTCAAAAATGTTTTCACTACTTACTGACAATAAACTTCTCTCCTTTTTCTCCTCTTGTTTCCTCTTTCCCTCTCTTCTGTTCTTCCCCTTCTTTTGTTTCATCCTCCATTTTCTTCTCCTTCTTTTCTCCTCTCCTCTTGTCTCCTCCTTTCCTTTCCTCTCCTCTCCCCTTTTTCTTCCCCTCTTCCCATCCTCCTCTCCTGTTTCCTCCTCTCCCCGTGTTTTCTTCCCTCCTCTCCTTTTTCTTCCTCTCATTTTCTCCTCCCCTCCCTTGTTTTCTCCTCTACTTGTCTCCTTCTCTACTGTTTTTTTCCCCCTCTCCCTTATTGCCTGCTCTATTTACTTCCTCCTCTCCCTTTTTCCTCCCCTCTTCCCATACTCTCCTCTCCTGTTTCCTCCTCTCCTTTTGTTTCCTCCCATTCGCTCTTGTTTCCTTTCCTCCTCTCCCTTGTTTCTCCTCTACTTATCTCCATCTCTAATCTTTTCTCCTGTTTCCTCCTCTCCCTTGTTTCCTCCCTACCTCCCATACTCTTCTTCGTCCGGTTCCCTCCTCTTCTTTCTTGTTTCTTTCCCTTCTCCCTTGTGTCCTTCCTCCTTTTCCTCTCCTCTTTTGTTTCCTCCTCTCCTCTTTTTTTTTCACCCACTCCTCAGTTGGGAGGAGCTCTATCTCGCTGCAGGACCTTCTTTGTTTCGCCACAGGAGCAGAGGAGCTCCCAGCAGCCGGCCTGCTCCCTTCTCCCTCCATCTCTTTCCTCCATCCCTCTGGGGCTGAGGAGGAGGAGGGTGGAGCAGGAGAGAGGGAGACAGTCAGACCAGGGAGGGGAGCGTGGAGGGACAGTGGGCTCTTCCCTCAGAGCGAGCCTGCCTCCAAACACCTCCTCCTGCCTGTCACCACCTCCTACCAAGCCTTCAAAAGCTCCATGGAGCAGGCCGTCAGCCACTATATGCACCTCCTCCCCAGTTAGATGAGGAGAGAGGAGAACTGGTTGGGGTCAGAAAAACAGCAGAAAGTGCTTTCTGCAATTAACGATCCAGACTTTAAAAAAAAAAAAAAGTTATGTAATGTTATTGATTGGCCCTTTGCTAAGACCCGACCTACTCCTCCATTGTTAGTTTATCATAGATATAGAAATATGTCATTTCAAAATTGGAAAAATTTAGGGATATTCAATATCATGCTAACAGGGGCTAAAGCTAACAGGTCCCAAATGCAGAAGCAGATGATCCATGTAGAATATATAGAAATAAAGAAACAGCATTGTTCTGTGGTGTAGATCTTCTTAGTGTTACAGAACAATATTATAATTAAAATGTAATTTGTTGAAACATAACCCCGTATGGATACTTATAGAAAACATACATGAACAAACAACACAGTAGTTAAGAATAATTGGTGAGTTTGGCAAATGTAACACTATTTATTATAAATCTGTTTGGATTTCCAATCCAATAAAAACAAAGATGACCAGCTGATATTGGCCCAACTCTGATCTGAGCTTCTTAGCTGGACACGCTAACGTTAGCCATGTTTCCTCTTCTGTTTTTGGTTTTGGGAACTCTTTCTATACCGAGAGTTTCTCTTACTACAGCCCAATGCACACAGCTCCCAAAGCTTGTCACGCCTAGCTACGTTTGCTAATTTACGATTGGACAATGGCTGTTTGGAGGCGGGGTTTAGCAGACGTTCAATTTCATCTGTTGAATACATTTTCAGTTTATCAATTTTGTCTTTAAAGCTGCTGCGAAAAGTCCATCTGACGTCTTCAAACGTTCCAAACCCAAAGAGATTCTGTTTACTTTGATATAAAACTGAGAAAAACAGAAAATCCTCACCCCAGACACCAGAGAATTGTTGGTGTTTCTGCTTGATAAATGACTCTTAAATAATGAATTGATTATCAAACTTGTTAGCAATTACATTTCAACAATTTGAAATCCATACTAAATTAGAAAGTTTATGTATAAGCCATTTATTATATGTTTCTATACCAGGAAGGTTTTTATTTTATTTTAGATGGAGTAGTGTCGGATGATGTGACGATGTATACCGTGATAAATTCTGAATATCTATCAGAGATTTCTTTATACCAGTTATACCAATGTAGCTATGTTATACTTCTGCATAGTTTTCATATATTTGATTCATATGTTATGTTCAAACCCCCAAAAAACACCTCACAAATACATAGTTTCATATTTAAAAAGGAGTCAGTTATTCCCTAAAACAGCTGCTCACTGTAGTGTTTATCAAACAAACAGGAGATGTGTGTCTTTAATAGTTTTTGGACAACAACAGTGGAGCTCTATTGAGGAAGACGAAATATCAGGCTGTGATACACACACGTTTGACGAGCAGAAAAATATATCGCCAGATTCAAACTTTATGTTGTCAGATTAGCCAGCTGGTTATTTTATCCAGGTTTACATCACATCCATCCATCATTGATAAGAAACACATCATGTTTAAAACTGATTAAAAGAAGAAATGTTCAATTCATAAACCACATCCACTCCGACCGTCCGTACCTGTACCTTTGGTGAACACGGACGGTTCAGGTATCGTGTCGCTCACTAATGAAGCTGATGAGTAAAATATTTTCATAACCCATAACTGCAGGTAGCATTACATTTAAAGTCTTTAAATTAGCCTTTTTAAAACTTTTTTTCTTGTCTCTTTCCTTAAACAACAGGATTTATGAAAAAAGTAAAAAAAAAAAAAACAATGGTGCTGATTTTATAACTTTGCCTTCAAGTGTCAGATTCTTGTACATAGTTTATTTCTTTAAGCTTTTAATGATGCTGAGAGTTTCTTGTTTGTTGTGTTCTTTTTTTCTTTTCTTTTTTTGGTTTTCTGGCTTCAGTAAAGAGCCTCGTCCAAAGTTAAGGCGACACTTACAAACTTTTGTGTTTGGTCAAGTCATGTTTTATCAAAAGTTAATTTGCTTCATAAATTTACAGGAACCCCATAATGTGTCCCCTCAAGCTATGTAAATTTCTCAATTAAGTTGCAAATTCAGGGGTTCTTCTTAAGGTTCTGGTTGATGGATTGATAGTGATTGTGTCCATTAAACCCTTATAATCCTATTATGAAGTTATGTAATTACATCATTATTAAAATCAAATCTGACCAAACATTCAGCCGTGATTTCACACTCTCTTTTCACTAACACTTTTAGTCACAGGTGCAGACACTATGCATGGTCAGTTTTATGATTAATTATTTTGGGTTTATAATTTTACAGTATCTTTTTTTTTCTGTTCAGTTACTGTTTCAGATTTATGAGTATGTGAATTTCTGTTGTTTTACACACATACATTTTTTCTTTTTTTTTTCTTGTCTGTTTCCTTTAACTTTCTTGTTATTTATCCGTTTTGTGTTTCCTTCCTGTTTGCTGCATGTTTGTGCTCCTTTTTTACATCTTTTATCTTTGTTCTTTGTGAATTATAAAGACAGAAACAAACCATGTTGTCCTCTTTATTTCTTAAACTTCAATCAACTGAAGAAATATCTTCCTGCTTTTATTGGCCAGGTCAAAAGAAGAACATAAAATGCATCCTTGGCTGCCTGATTGATATTGTTCTGTTCTGCTTGAGGCGGAATCCGTCTCTTAGGAGCAGAGAGCCACCTGGAGCCATCTCTGATAGACACATGATAATCCTGTGGTGTAGGAGAACAGGGTTTGAGTTCGCACTGCTGCCTGAGTGTGGTCAGCTGCCGTGGAAGGTGCAAATGCTCCAGTTTTGGTCATGCTATCACAGCACTGTGTAGCAGCTGATGTGAAGATTATGCTCCATCTCAACTTAGAGCAGGGTGCAGCTCAGCTCCTCTTAATAAGACATCAGCTCCCCTAAAAGCATCTTTGATATTTTGGGGGGTCTCTAAAATATTGCCAGCATGCTTTACTGACATTAATTTCTATATTTCTCTATTATCATGGATCCGTGCGTAAAATCAGGAGTGTCACGCTTCATCCAGCCAGAGGGAACGATCACCGACTGTCCACGGCGGGCCAGTGTTATGCCGAGTTTTGCCTGCCTGCCGAGAATTGCATGCACCTCCAAATACTGCTTTTAAAAGCTATACTATTCTTTGTCGGGTGCATCAGTGGTGTTAAATGATTCTAAGTATTTATTTTATGAACGTTTAGAGTCTTTAATATCGTAATACACTTAGAAGAAGTACCATTAAATATACAGTAAATATATGTGGTATATGCATCGCGGGAGAAGAGCAGGGTGCCTGAAATGGCTACTACACTTATTCAGAAGATGTGATGGAGTAGATAATTTAATCACCAACTGATAAAAGAAACAAATGTAAAGAACAGAAGCAGAAAATGTCACAACATCACAACGGTTGCTTGCATAGTCAGTACATCAATCAGCTATAAGAATATAATTTAACACTGAGAGGGACATTAATGCTGTATAATAAGTAATAAACTATTTGTAAAGCACTTTTCAAATGAAATGAAGAAAATAAATGAGACAATATGAATACAATAATATTGAACTGGTAAGATATGTTGGAAATTAATAAAAAAAAACAACATTTTATTCAAGCGATGCCTTTCAGGACACTCAAAGGTATCTTGAGGGGTGGTGATGGTGCAGTGGATAAGACACATGCCTTTGGTGTGAGAGACCCGGGTTTGTTTCCCCACTGTGACACATCCACCATTGTGTCCCTGACCAAGACACTTAACCCCTAGTTGCTCCAGAGGCGTGCGACCTCTGACATATAAAGGGGGTTAAAGGCTCTAGTTCCCAAGATGGAGAGGTAGGTAGGTGCCAGGTTGTGGTGGGCTTTAAAAGGGAGGAGTAGGGTCTTAAACTTAATCCAGTATCACACAGGAAGCCAGTGAAGTTCGATAAGAGTAGGTGTGATATGTTCAGATGATTTGGTGTAGCTGAGGATTGCTTGCAGAGTTCTGAACCAGTTGGAGTCGATTAATGAGTTTGATGGGGATACCATGGGTGAGGAGAGTGACAAAGGCGTGGATGAGAGTTTCAGTGCTGGATTGTGAAAGAGATGGTCAGAGTCTTGGAAAAAGGCAGTCCGGGTGATGGTTTTTCTGTGGGATTCAAAGGACAAGGTGTTATCCAGGATGACACCGATGCTTTATACTTTGGATGACAGAGTGACCGGTAAAATATCACTATTGATAATGAGCTTTTGCTGTTGAGAGAGGGTGGATTTGGAGCAGATAAGAAGGATCTCTGTCTTGTCGCTATTTATTTGGAGGAGGCAAACGTTCATCCAGCTCCTGATCTCTTGAAGGCATTTGATGATTGAGATGGGAGGAAGAGGCGGTGGGTTTGGTGGAGAAAGAGAGTTGGGTGTCAAATTGATGTTTTGGTTTTGCAAGATCCTCCCCAGAGGTAGGAGGTATATGATGTAAATTTATATATATATAATTTTTTATCGTTTATATTTGAATTTTATTGTTTATATTATGTGAATTTTTGCTTTGGCAACAGTGTTTATCTAAACATCCATGCCAATAATGTTAATTAAAATTGAAATATGAGACCTCTTCACTCCTCCCTCCCCTCCTCTCTGACGGGCAGCTCATGCCGCGTTCGAGACCGGTGGGAACTGGGAGATTTCCCAGTTGAAACTTCTGATATCCGACATCAAAGCGTTCCAGGTGCATGGTGGTGCATGACGTCGAAAGTGAACGAAAACCATGGCTAACCGTGACAAAGTGTACACACACTTGCACCCTCACCAGTGTTTTAGGTGTTAATTAAAAGGATGGCAGTTTTAATGCAAACAACTGACATAAATAGCCTATACGGTACTAGTTAACTGTGTACCCCTCTAGCTACATCAGTTGGTAACCCTCAAGTCAGTCAATGTTGTAGGTTACACTTCTTAATGCATTTTTAACAATAACTTTTATGCAGAGAAGATGACTTGATGAGATTGTTTACAGTAGCCAGCTACCTAATAGCCCTAACATATTTCTACATCAATGTACAATGTTCGTTTTAATTTAAATACATGCAATATACTTTTTATTGCTTTTTAGTTTATGGTTTACCATTTACAATGTGTGCATCCATGGGCGCAAGTAGGAAATCCGACTTCAGGTGGAAGCGGGAAATTTCCCAGTTCCGAGTTGCCTGGAACGCAGCATCACGCCGCGCTGCTGCCACGTCATCAGAACATCCGTCACCACCAACAACATCCAACATGGCGGCGTCCGTCCGGGAGAAGCAGGCAGGTCTGTCGAGCTGAGTTTTTCTTTATTAACGGTTGTTTTCAGCGGCAGGCGGCGCCGTTAACGGGCCGCAGGGAGTTTAAACAATCCTGAGTCTGACAGAAGATATTTCTTCCGGACTGTCATGCCTCTAACCAGCTAACTAAGCCACTCTTCATCTCAAAGTAGCCGCTAGTTGAGCTGATAAACTGATGTTTCAGTTTCGCTACAGATACAGAAACTCTTCCTCCTCCTCCACATACAGACTAATTCACTAACCTGACTGTTAACTAGTTCACTGAGGAGTTAAACAGCCACTTAGCTTGTTAGCTAACAGTACTGCTAGCCTTCTAGGTCCACTGTTAGCTAGGTGAAGCTAGCATGTCTTTATCAGTGAAGAAATAGTAGCAAATGTGATACGTTTGAGTGTCTTAGAGCCTCTCTGAAATTACAGGACCTTTGATGGAAACTGAATCACCCCCCTATTAAACTCTAAAATGCGTGCCCTCAGAAAAAATCAAGCTGTGTTGTGTCCATAGGTGTCATTTACACTGGGGACGCTGGCTTATTCTGTCCCCATCACTTTTTCGAAAGCATTTGTTAAAAATGATCTGAAAAATAGTTTGCAACAAGAAATGTTAAATAACCAATGAAAACGCTTTGTGAAATGTTTATTTGCACGATAAGCATTTGAAATAGCTCTTACTGGCCCCGGGGGTCAAAACTTGCTACTGGGACACAATTAAAACTAGATTCAAGCAGAAATGTCTTCCCCAACATGTTGACTGGTTTACGTGTTGATCTGTGTGTGAACAGTCTGTGTGTGTTTGTACCTGCAGTCGCTCTGAAGCGAATGCTGAACTTCAACGCTCCTCCTCTGAAGAACACTGCAGCTGAGCCAGTATGGAAGGTAACCACACACAAATACACATCTAAAATAAAATACACGTTGAATATTATGTAATAAATAGAGCAGACAAGGCATTGAACCTTAATACTTTCTAAGTATCTAATTGTGGATGTAACAGATTTTTTAGTCTTCTCAGCAGATCAAGATATCAGAAAATATATTATTTTGGTTTCCATAAACTTATCAGTGACATTTTTGGGTGTTCCTGGAGCAGAAACTCCACTCATGGTATTTAAAGTCAAATCAATTTTACTGTATCGTGTTTCCTCTGTCCTCTGCTTTAACCTTGTGTGTGTGTGTGTGTGTGTGTGTGTGTATGTGAATGTGTGCGGATGCAGGTGTTGATATACGACCGATTCGGACAGGACATCATCTCCCCGCTGCTGTCTGTGAAAGAGCTGAGAGACATGGGCATCACTCTGCACCTGTAAGGGACACAAACGAGACTGAACCCCCCCCCCACCCCCCCCCAGCTGCAACATTAAAAGTGATAAACACACATACAGTCAATGCAGGACTTTTACTTGTAACACAATATTTCTACACTTCTACTATTCTTTATCCACCCCTGTCTAATCCTAACCTGAACCATAAGTTTTATGCCTTCAGTAAGTCCAAAGAGAAAATGTCCTTCCTCTGAGGGTCTGAAACTGAAATCAGTCCTCACAAAGACAGAAAGCAGTCTCTATATTTAAGTTAAGTTAATAATTTACAGCTGTCATTAAAACAACATGTTAAATTTAGTTTGTGTGTATTAGTCTGCTTCACACAGACAGAGATCCTATCCCAGATGTTCCAGCCATCTACTTTGTCATGCCCACAGAGGAGAACATCGACAGGATATGCCAGGTTCTTTCTCGCTCATTCCCGCACACACGCTCATTGAGCAGTTATCATGGACCTCTTGTTGAAACTTGTGCATGTTAGCATTCTCGCATATAGCTCGTTAACATACTTCAATACAATACAATTTATAATCAAAAGATAGTGTAAATAATTGTGCGTGTGTGTGTGTGCGTATAGGACCTGAGGAACCAGCTGTATGAGTCATACTTTCTGAACTTCATCTCTGCCATCAGTAGAAGTAAACTGGAGGACATCGCAAGCGCTGCTCTGGCTGCTAACGCTGTCAGCCAAGTCACTAAGGTTGCACTGGTTACTCATATATGTTTAAAGTAAAGTCTGATGAGATTATATGCAGTGATGTTACATTTAATATTATATATATATATATATATATATATATATATATATATATATATATATATATATATATATATGGTTTTTCTGTTTCATATAAAAGAATATAGTAGTGTGTGCTGACTAATATAATATCCTGTATCAT